TAATGAAAAATAGATATACTATTTAAAATTCAATCCATAAACTTTTTATAAATACTTTCAAAATGAATCGAAATAAATAAAATATATATAATTATCTTTTGAAACTTTTGTTTTTAAAGTTTCTGATATAGCACTCCTCACTTGATATGCACGTGGCATTAACCTTTTTTATGTACATTCTTATACCGTGTCTATATTTATTACATATTGTTATTTTATAATAATATTAAAGACATGTTAAATGTTTTGTTACTTACATAAGAAGATATCTAAATTGTAATGTATATTGTATTTTTTTCCATCAATTATTCCATCAAATGCGAATATGTTTGGATAGTAAATTCAATTTACGAAAAATTTATATATTTGTGAAATCAAATTGAAAGTTGCATTGTCATAATACTGTTTTCCTGGAAATATCTGTTTACGTATTTGTCAAGTAATTTATTGTTTAAAACAAAATTTAAGAATTTATACGATCATAAAAAAATTATAATTATAAAACTAAAAATATTTGTAAAATATATAAAACATAACATATAAATCGAGAGTACCAATGTTTTTGTATAAAATTTATACAAAATTTTGAAGATGTGATACTATTTGAAAATGTCATACATAATTGATTTTATTATAAATTAGCATATTTCAATACTGCACAACATACATTTGGGAACAATAATTTCAATTAATATATAACCTAAGTCAATGTTATTATCTTTGAGATTTAAACATTTTTGTTGTACTATATACATTACTATATACTATAACCTAAATTTTTTCTCTTATCTGTATAAAAAATATAATTGATTGATTACATTAACCAATGATCAATAATAGTGATATATGTGTTATCGATTTCAATATTTTATCAATTATTAAAATAAATAATAAAAATAACAATAACATTACATAAAATATATTAAGTTACATCACAAAATTGACTATTTTTACTGGATATTTATTTCTGGACAGTAATATCTGAAATACTTGATCACTCTAACTCCCTTGGACCCGACTCTTTTACCGTGGTCCAATTATATGTATAACGTATATCAATTTTCCGAGAAATCGTAGGAGCAATCAAATTAATAAACGACCTGCGAACGAACTATTCACTTCTGATCAGTGACAGTAGTGCAAAGGGATCGTGGCCGTATTACATTCATGCCATCGGCTATTTAATCAATCAGTGAAATTGGGAATTAGGGATTAATTGATATCAATATGCGTCTTTCTTTTTTATATAAAAAAAAAATTAATTGCATTCATGGAAACATTGTGCAGCTTGTAAGTTATGAATTTTGAATCGCAAATCCATACATTTGCTTAATTCACGTGAATTTTTGTGTTCATTACTGAATAGATCAACTTCAGGTTTTCAACATTTTGTTATCATAACCTTATTATTAATCATTAATAAAATATTTAAATTTTCATAAACAATTTTAAAAGAATCATTATTAATACAACATAATTAAAAAAATTATTAGATTATATTTTTTGTTATTAAATTATGTTGTTGCCGTTTTCAATTAAAATAATTTTACTAAAAAAGAAAAAAAAATGAATTTTTGTAATGAAAATTCTGTACTGAATTTGGTAAAGAATAGCAACGCAGGGCAAGTGCACGAAATTGGGAACATGCTATATTTTGTCCTGTACATCTGGAAAAGGCCATAATGCAGTACAAAATGATAAAATTGTTTGAAAAATAGTTGTTGCTATGCGTAACAAAACTTGTCGTGACTTGTCGATCTATAATTCATTGTGCTTTTCTCTGATCCCGCTTTTGTTTTGGTTGATCGTCAATCTGATTCGGGGTGGCACACGATGATGCGAGAAACATGAGCTAGTGTCAGAGAGCAATATCCAAGGCTAAACAACTGCCATGCTTCTCAAATTGGAATTTCATACCGATCCATTTTTCTATACGTCGTTTTTTCGTTCTATAGGTGCGTCTATCTGAGTCTAGGTCATAACTTTTGATATTCATCCAACCGTGAATACGATGACTCAATTTTTACTCCGAAATTAACTAATACCAGACTCGTGTATAAAGAAGCTTCAAACGCTAGTACTATGAATTTTCCAAGATTCATTCCTATACTGCTTAACCGTTAATTTTCTTTTTTGTCCATAGCTATAACAATATCAAAGATGTAATAAAAAGGAAATATTAAAAAATTTAGATTAACTGGATATTCTTACCTACAGATATTATTTATTAATATTATTTAAAATGTAATATATTAAGATTTCTATAAATTTACAATATTATGCTTGACATTTATTGTAGTTTACAAATAAGCAAATATAATTGTATAAAAAAATTTATTTACATCCTTGCATTATATCATACATATTATTATTTCTGCCCTTTTAAAATAACTATTTAAAAATAATATTTTAGATTGTAAATATTGAAAATTGATTTTATTTTATTTTTGTTTTAAGAAGTCTAAAAACATAAGAAAATAAATAGTAATTAATTAATAATTATGAAATCGTCATAATTACTGTTACTGCCAATTAAAAATATTCCAACCGAATTAAAATAAATTTAAGAATATAATTTATTATTGAATACACTAATAATAATTTTTTATTGTAAACATTCATAATTTAAATTTTTGTACAAACTACTTTTCTTCTATAATTTTTATTATTTTTATATAATAACACAAAAAAATCCATAGAAATTAAACATATAATCGATATACGTAAGAGATCATTATATCAACTCTATTAGTATTTTAAATAAGAATAAAAAGCCAGTACCTCTAGTAAAAGATAAACAACAACAAATTTAAAAGTATGGTAGGCAAATTGAAATACCTTTAACATGGAAGTCTTAGGATTTCCGTAACATTAGAGATACAACAATTATTTTTTATAATTATTCGATTACTAGTTTCAAATAGTTGTTTAATATTATTGTTGGTTGTTAGACTATATTACCTATTTCACAATAAAACTTTTAATTAACGTAAAGAAAAAAATTTTTATTTCATATTTGAAAGAATTCGGTTATTATTTATAAATAAAATTTGATGTTCACACCTATAATTTTAACTTAAAATATTAAAAAATAAAAGAATGAATAATAAAATCACTTGTTTAAAATTAATCAAGTTTTTAATTAAATAAAATTGACTCCTGGGCTAATTTTATATCATATTTGGTAACAGTATTATTTCTATAGATATAAAGGAATGTTTTAAAATACTACAAAATTTATATTTAAAATGATATCTATGTGAAATACTGCCACTGTTACTTTTTACGCTATTATTACTTATTACGTTCTTTTAAAATTAGGTTCACTTCATAAATCTAATTCTTGATTCAATAATTACATTGTTTTTAAAGATCAAAAAACGTAAAAAATGTACCAGCGCAAGTAGTATATTTTTCAAAATAGTGAAGGGGAAAAAAAAGAATAAAAGCAACTGGATATTCATATGAAACTGTATTTCAATCAAAACCAAAAGGAAATACCACAACAGGTTAGTTTGTGGGTAAATGAAAGTGAAAGGGATTTCCGGTAAAAAATCAATGCCTTCACAGGCAGCTAAACGATCCCCAATGAATATGCTGTACGTAGGTATATATGAGCAATGAGATAGACAGAAAGATTATCCAAGAGAAAGAGGATTCATCAATGGCTTAACGACAAAAAGCCTTCACAGCTCAACCTCTCAACTAGACAATCGACAGATACATAGAAATACGGTGCACCGCAGCAGTCCTCGACCCTCTAAAATCACAGTTATTGTAATCATCGTTATGGTCATCAAGCAACTTCCCTTTCCCCATGCATCCTTCTTTCCGCCTCTCTTGCCCCTCACTAACTATTCTAGTATGGTCTGCAGCACATGTACGCATGATGTCAATCGTAAATGAACAAATTCGTATTAAGCGTGTGTATGTAGAATAATTCGCGAGAATTGACAATTACTTTAAAAAATTCTATTAACACATACGTGAAAATAATGCACTATTACTATTGTTGATTCAAAAATTATTTCCATCATATTTTATTTTCGCACATTTTATTCTAACACAAATAAATAGTATTTCATATTATATGCTCTTCGTACTTCTTATATAATTTAAAATTTTAATTCCCGTGACTATTAAAAATATTTTTACTTTTTGCTTGTGTTACTTCATAATTCAGAAATTAATTATAATAACTACCTCCCTGTCTCTAATAAGTATACTATATATGTTATTCTTCCTTATAATTAACACAAAGTACATTATAAAGTAGATTTTAGTCAATATTGACTATATGATATAATAATAATCGTAAAGATAGAATAATAGTAAGTAATAGCTATTTAAAATTGTTTGATTATTATTATAACTAGCTACTATTAATATTGCTTAAGAAACCGAATATTCTATGCAATAAAGATATTAATTAGAAATTTTAATTTTCTAACAAATCATTTGATTTAAATTATAATGATATTAATGATCAGATAATGATAAATTAATCAATTAATACTGTATAACCGTATTATATTTATATTTATATATAATTATATAATAATTATATAAAAACACAGAGTTATAGAGAGTTATAATATTTATTGCTTAAATATATAGAAGCTGTAATAAATAAATACATAATATTTATATCTCTCTGTGTGTGGTTGTTAATTATTCTTCATTATTATTATACTGATTTTTTTAATTAAAAATGTGCAATAATATCTTTGTGTAATAATTGATTTTCAATTAGTAATCTTTATTAATTTAATTCATAAGAAATGCTTACTAAAATATAAATTAGAAATATTATTAATTCATTTCATTTATTATTTATTAAATTAGTTATTAAACTTTGTTATTAATTAACAATTTAATTATATTTTGTTATATACAAATTAGTTTGCTTCATTAATAAAATTGATTATTTATAATATTTAGTTTCAAAAATTTATGAAAGACGTAGTTTAATCTTAGAAAATCCAATGAAGAAAACTCACCCCTTCCGCTTCTGCCGACAAATCTGAGATCATTGAATTTCGCCACTTGATTTTTCATGAGGGCAGTAGAGTTTCTTAACTCTGCACAGCAGTTCTCATCATTTCCGGCTCTGACCGTGACAAGGGTACCGTCGCCAATTTCGCCAAGGGCAACCACTTTGAACGCAACAGGAAGCGTCTTATTCGAGCGCCAGTGCGTTGGAAGCTGACTACACAGGAAATACGGGGAACCTGTAAATAGATACGATCAATTAACTTCAAATATGCATAAAATATTTAGATCATATTGTTAGTACCTAATAAAATTAAAATATTTATTAGTATAAAAGCTTATTAACAATCATTATGCTTTTGTGTTTTTGAAGCTTATTAATTTTATTTAAAGAAACAAAAATTTTGTTATAAAATATAACATTTACAATATTTAAATTAAATATATCCATTCGTTTACTTTATAGAATTCATTCCAAAAAAAAATCCATAGATAAATATGATTTATTTTTGGAAAAATTGTAACATGTAATCAAATTAAATATTGAATCATTCTTCACTAAAGCTTTTTACAAAGCAAACGCTTTCATTGTAAAAAGCATTATTTTTTGAAAATTTACCTTAATACTAAGCCATCTATTAATTTCTTAAATGCATTTTGTGACTGATTGATTTCAACTTAAATCAATATCAATACTGATTAAGAAAAAAGTTAAAAAATAAGTTGAAGATAAGAAAAATGAAACCTCAAGTAAATCGAAAAAAATTTGAAATTGTTTACACTTTCCTTAATTAAATAGAAAAAATGTTGTATCCATTTCATTTCCTTTCCATCCAGTCATTTTAATAATGTTCTATTTTTTATTTGCATATGTTTACTATTAGTTACTTTAGCATTTCTATTTCTTTATATTGTGTAACATAGTTGGGCAATGATTTTTTCAGAAATTTTATAGAAGAAAACTCAATAATTTATTGTTATGGCGAAACCATAATATTATATTTAATTTAATAATAATAATAATATTATAATTATTATTCAGGCAACTCTATAGAGATGCTAAACTCTATAAAAAGGTTCTATACAACACAAATAAATTAAAAAATTTATTACTTTGGTATTGGATATATTAGACTATGTAACTGAATATTATACATGTATTATTTGCTTCAAAAATATAAAATTTAAAGAAAAAATAAAAAGATAAGGTGGTAGCTTGAAATATAATGAACATTTAAATATTAAAAAAATAGAATAAGTCCATAAAAATTATATTGTGATTACTGAAATCAAATATATAAAATATATGTTCATTTTAATTAAAAAAAATATTATAATTTTGTAAATATTATAATTTTCTATTTTTAAGTCTTATATTTAATAATCTTATATACAATATCTAATATTTGATAAATATATTGCTTAAGTATTGAAGCGCGTTTTGAAATTTGTTAAAATAGTTCAGTTTTTATATTTTATACTTTATTAAATGAAATTAATATACGTGATTCAAAAAGTAATCAGTTAATTCAATATTTACAATGGATTATTCAATGATTTAAAATGAATAAACGTAATTTTATTCGTCTAATTTTATAAACCATTATCATTAAAATTTTTTTATAATAAAAAACTGTTAAATATAACTGTTAAATATATTTATTTATAAAAAAATTTATTTTTATAAAATTATTTTATTCAAGTTGCTAAATACATAATATTTGTAAATGTTTTAACACTCATGCTTATAAGTGAATTAATATTATTTAATTATACAGATTTTATATGTTTTTATAAAATTAGTTATCTATTTCATTGCAATATTTTTTCAAAATATAATTTTTAATTAATTTAAAAATTTATAATTTAATTTCTACCCGTTACTTCTTATATTTCTAATTATTTTTCTATGACGATATATTTTCTATAATATTTATTTTAAAAAACGACAAAGATTAACATTTTTATCTTAATTTTTTATTTTATTACTATACAATAAAATAATTATGTAATCCTTTTCTTCATAGTATATATAAATATTATAAATTATATACTTATATACAGATTAATATGACAGAACAAATTAGGTGGTCAGTAGTACTTTATTTTAAATTTAAACATAATTTTATAAAAACTTATTTAGATCTAAAAATAAAATATATTTTTCATATTAATAGTATTTGTATTAAACACAATTTATTTTATAAGTTATATGTGTCATATATATATATATATATATATATATATATATATATATATACCTTAATTTAATTGCTAATATATAAATAGAAATTTAAATATAACAAAAAACTTATTTGAGGAAATGAATATATAATTTTAATTTATGCTTTTATATGGTCAGTTACATTAATTAATGAAAAATAAAATTACAAAAAATATATTACATTGTAATATGTTTTTAAAATATTGTATTAAAAAACATAAATATTAAAGCTCTATTCTAACCTTTTTTATATCAGTACTTGTAAAATATTATTATTTTAAGTGTTATAATATTATGGTATAATATTATTTTATGAATTATCATTAGATTATTTTGCTTCTATATCAGCATAAAAATTAAAAAAATATACTAAAATTATTTATGTATAAACTTAAATATTATTTTTCATTCTTTGTTTCCATTATATTCATGTTTCTTACAATAAAATCTTTGTTTATATTCTTATAAAAATAGATAGATGTAATGACACCATTATAAGCAATACTATACAAATTTAAATTAATGTAAATTATAATAATCGAAAAAGGTTAAAAAGTTTTACCTAACATAGAGCTAATTGTCATTGAAACTAAAATAAAAATAAGTTTCATATATCGGAAACATATGGTGCACAAGTATGAAATATTAACGACGTATATCTTATAATTTTATGATAATGATATATAGAAGGCTTTTTAAAATCTAAAAAATAAAATATAACGTTTTATGAATTTGAATTATTTTAAGAATATATCATTGAAAAATAGTACTTTTTAAATATCATTATTTAAATAAATATTTATATGCTTTAGAATTTTTTCATTTATTGAAAGAAGAAGAATCATATTCATTATTGTTAATACTTTAAGTAAACAAGCTACTGCAAGAAAATATACATAAAAACTTCGATCAAAAATATCTTGTTAGAAATATTTAATATTTGAAAAACGAATTTTAACTAGAAAGCTGTGAAATGACTAGAAAAGATTATTTTTTATTAATTTTAGTAATTAAATATTTAAAAATTATATTCTCAAATATATTTTTGAAATTTTTAATTAATATTTCACAATCTATATAAAAATTAATATAAACATTTTACTTTTATTTTATGATATGTAGTTTTTGTCGGTTAGTAAAATGTTTTTTAGTATTAATATTTTCAAGTTGATGTTAAAAAATTTATATTTTTGTTATGAAAATTATAATTTTATATTTGATAAATATAATTTTGTTTTTAATTAATTTATTACAAATATTGCTTTAAGAATAAAATAAATTCAGAAAATAATTTAATCTTGTTTTAGATCTAGTTTTAGAAACATACATACATCAAAATATATTAATCGATGGCTAATGCTATGATATGTAATATTTTAGAGTTAATATTAATATTTTAAATAATTAAAATTATAAATTTAGTTTAAATTCATATCAATAATTTTCTATAAACATTATGTAATAGAGTAATTATATTTATAAAGATAATTATGAATACATATATTCTTTAAAAAATTCTTAAAAGAATTAAAAGAAGCTTATACGAACACAAAATCCTATGAATATACATAAAATTTTGTGCAATATTGTCAAATGTTAATATTCAGACATATTTAGTAATTAGTATAAAAATACATTCTTCTTTTTTTTAAATATGCCATAATAAAATAATATAATAATTAATTTTATAATAAATGATTTTTATGATTCAAAGATATATAATTAATTTCATACAATATTTATAGCGTATTGATTTCAGTAAACTTATTAAGTCGTATCAAGTAGCAAATTTATGAGTCGACTTGCTTATTGTCAAAGTTCATATTTAGTTATAATTTTATTAAGTTTACCGTATCATCGAAATTGTTCATATTATTAAATGAAGAAGTAGTACTGTTATAACATATTTTCGAATTCATTACCGAATAATATGTAATATTTATCTAATTAAATAATATACAAAATTTCAGAAAATAAACTTCTAAAATTTATCAATCCTGTTGAAAAATAAAATTGAATAATAGAATGTACTAAAATTAATTATTTTCAATAATTGTATAAAAACTTTATAAATATTGATGTGGATAACTAAATGAAAAATATACTAAAATAAATATTTGTCTTTCCTTAAGATTTATTTCATTTATAGGACCAAACATCTTTATTATATTATTAATTTTTAAATATGTATATTTTATGTTGAATTAACGAAATTGATTCAAATGAATTGTAATATTTTATAATATTTTTATTATATCTTCATTCTATTATTTTTATTGTATTATATTTTTGATTATTTATTGTAATAAATTTAATTTAACACAAATATATATATATAATGGTTTTTACAATAAAATATATACAATGAAAATTATATTTATCAAAAGTATATATATAATGTATAAATATTATTAAATCTTTTAAATTTCTTATTTACAAGAAAAATTATTTGGCAGGACTAAGTAATATAAACTATTAAATTGTACATAATTTATACTTAGCCTATATTTAAGTTAGTCTATTACACTTAATAAAATTTTTGTTTGTACTTTTATGTATCCATAGCTTTTTGTGTCTGTATATTTAGAAATTCAGTATTAATTTAAAAAGAATAATTCTTTTTATAGAAATAAATAATCGAAAATTCACGTTGTGTTTCAAACTTTTTTCATACAAATATTTTTAAAGGTTAGATGATAAAACTATGATCCTGTTTATATGTTATATCATACATTTGTATTAATAGCAATTACTGTTTGAATTAATTGATACTACCTAATTAAATATTATTATACAGTAAGTATCAATAACATATTGAAAAATATTTCAAAATTAAAATAGATATTAAAATTATTAAGAATATTAATATATTTTCAAGTAGTTCAGAAATTTATTAATAATTATTAAAACTAGCTATGTACTTCGGTTAAGCGTTACAAACTTAATAAATTTTAAAATACTTGAAAAAATTTTTCAGTTGAAATTGTAAATTATTATAAATAAAATAATTATTTTGATAATTTTAATATATGTCTTAATATGTAATTAAACCAAATTGAATTTGTTATAAATATTTAGTTAGTTAATAGAATATAGTATACTACCGCCATAACAGCATCTGAATAATATTAACAACTTGTATTAAAGCTTGTTTTTGATAATTACTTTTGAGTATAACGCTTATGTGAACCAACCTGTTCTGACGAGCTCGCCAGGATGTTCTGCCTGAGCTTCGCCAACTAGCCTCTCGGTCCACCAAAGCTCACCGACGGCTGCAGCTTCGCTCATTTCGCCGGCGGTCCCCGCCGTATTTGGTTCTGTGATTTCCTCTGTCGCTTGAAGCTGTTGGTGTTGTTGTTGTTGTTGCTGTTGTTGGAGACGCTGATAGAATCCACGTTGTTGCTGTTGATGGTGTAGATGTGCTACGTTCTCGTGTCTTTGCCGTTGTTGCTGTTGCTGATGATTCTGCTCTTGGCGTTGTTGCTGGGAATGAGGAAGCTGTTGTTGCTGCTGTGAATCTAATACGCTGCCGAAGCTTTCGCCACTGCAGCTCACCGAGCATATAGGGAGATGCATCCCATTAACGACCTATATTCTTTAAATCGTGGATTTACTACTTCTCTGTTTTATTTTTGTGTTACTTTTTAAAATAATTTACTTTAAATTTGTTTTATTATTCGTTGTTTAATTGTATAATTTTTGTAGGTTAATTATATAACGATTCATTTTTCTACCTTTTCAATAACTTAAAATGTTTAATTCGTCTTCTTGCACATTTTATTAGCTTCTACAAATATTCTTCATGATTTCCATACTATTGTTATTTATATTAAAATACTGTTAAATTCTCATAAATAATTTCGATTTAAAGCTGAATTCTTCAATTAAAAGTCGTTTAATATAAGAATCTATTTTCAGTTACTTCTTTTTAATAAATAAATTTAAAAATGATGATTATTGTGACATTAACACATTTATAGAATTTAATTAAATTTTAGTTCCCTTCATTTCTAAGTTCCATTATCGAATTAACATTCACGTTTAATACTTATAATTGTACAATTTACTTGAGTATTAAATAACAATGGCATAATTATACAAATATAAAAATATTTGCAGTAAATTTACTTTTTTTACTTGCAATCATTACAAGTCAAACGTTTGCATTTTATCAACCTGACTAATTTTTTAGATAAAGACCTTTAATATAAAACAATGAGGGTACCAAGTTATCTTAATCCTGAAAAAATATATCACAAACACTTAATAAGTTTTCCTGATCTCAGGCAGATTTTTCACATAACAACTCAGCACTTTCCACTCACATTTTTTGATTGGTACATTTTCAACTTATTATATCTTCGCTTCTCCGGAGCACATGACACTGTATTAAATAAGTGCGAATGAATCTCAACTAATATGTCTTTGAAAACTATATACCTATACAGCAGCTTCGTTCACTATCAACAATAGATTTTATACCAAAGTTTTGCCGCTGATGCGTCAAAAAATAAATATAACAAAAAATGTCATGATGGCGCAAAGGAAAAATGACGGAGAGAGAGAGAGAGAGAGAGAGAGAGAATGAAAGGGGGGATTTAAGAATAAGAGAGAGATAGAGAGTGATAACGTGATATTGTAATGGTTTTTTAATAAGAGCACATTCGTACGATACTAATGGTAGCGTGTCGTGCAAACACGTCAGCTGCTCTCAGAGGCTCGCGACGTAATGCTGCGAACTCACTGTATGCTCTCTTCCGTTCATTCTACATCCTCCCTCTCCTCCCCTTCACTCACTCTACTCTTTACCTCTTTCACGTACCTCGTGTTCGCACACGCGGAAGCCATTGCCGCGGAAATAAGCCTGAAAACACTCTGCTACAATTCCTGGGTGATTTTCTCTCTTTCTATACTTTGCTAGTTTTCCCTTTTATTTATTTATATTAATGTTTCTTAATCTCCTTGTGGATCGAAAAGGTATATATTATGAGTTATATTTTACACTATTGATATATCTACTATGATTAATACACCTAATGAATAGTAGATCCTGAATTTTAATTCCGTAATTTAAATATTTTTAAATACATATTTATTTATATTAAATACATTAAAAAATAATATTCATATTTGTAGAATTTGATATTGACATAAATAGAAAATGGAAAAACAGTTTTAAATTTAAAAAATTCTTATTTATATATACATTTATATCTAAAGATAAATAATTAAAAACACCACCTTTTGATAAAACTGTTCATTTGGAAAACACAAACCAAAGAAAAATGAATAATTATATAAATCATTAAATTATAAAATTAATTATTATTAAATTATTATTAATTATTAATTATTATTTAAATGTTAGAATAAATGTTTACACACTTGCATATATATTATCACATAAGTTTATTAAATGTTAGGATATGTTAGTTTTTTAAAGTTTACGATTGCATAATCATATATAAGCTTTATATTATAATTTTACTCTGTTATATATGAAGTACTTTTATATTAGGATCACTTATAACTTATATACATCAACGAGTCGATTTTGTTCAATCTTCTCAGGATTTTTAACGAACTGACTTATTTGAATTTCAGTCTAAACAGATTACTAAATAGATAAGTGAATTATTAAGTAACCAAGTAAGTCTGAAATTTTAGAGTGTATCATTTAAGATTTTTCTGATAAATTGATTGATGATTCCACTGATAAATAACGATCTATTTCTACTTTGAGTATCTGATTCAATAAAATGGTTCAGTATTTAATTAATGAAGTAGTTAAGAGAGTATATATATGACAATGATTTAG